CCACTTTAGGGCTAATTAAGTTGGAGATCATTGCTTCTAGTGCAGTGTAGTGTTGGGGTCAGAGAAAGGGAGAAAAGACAGAGTGGAGACAACTCTTCAGGAGTTTTCCTGTGAGAGAATCAGGTAGAGGGGGCAAAAATTGAAGACTCATGGGAGGTTAAGAAAGGAGAGAACTGGGGGCGGGAAAAATGACTTGGTGGTTAACACCTATTGCTCTTGCAGCCAGAGTTAGTTCCCAACGTCCATGTAACTCTTGATCTAAGAGATTAGAAGCCCTCTTCCGGCCTCTGAAGGCACTTACACTCAGCATGCTCACACACCCCCTACACAGAGGCACCCCTCCTGTGTTCTAAAACTCAAAACCCATGGGGCCCTAGTGCAAATGAAACACTTTTTTAAGACTTTCAAAAAGTATGTTCCAGACACTTCTGAACTCAAAGTCTATGGTGAGTTTACAGAAACTACAGAAGGGGAGTGGGAGGGGCCCGGTGGGGGCAGTGGCAAACAATGCAAATTGATGGGTGTATATGACAATGACAGAATGAAATCTGTTATCTTGTGTGTGTCCTCATTAAGATTCTGTGGCTGAGATAAGGGCTGTGACCAAAAGCAACTCAGGAGGAAAGGTTTGTTTGACTTTCATATCCCAAGGTGTAGTCCATTGAGGGAAATCGAGGCAGGAACTGAAGTAGAGACCATGGAGGAGCCCTTGTTTCTCGTGGCTTGCTCAGCCTGCTTTTGTATACAACCCAGGACTAGCTGCCCAAAAGTGGCACGGCCCACAGTGAGCTGGACCCTCCCATATCAATTATTAGTCAATAAAAAGCCCCTGCAGGCAGTTGTTCATCAGTTGAAATTCCCTCTTTTCAGATCTAACTTGTGATGAGTTGACAAAAGCACAATATCTTAACTTAAAAACAGAATTAATAAAAAAAAAAAAAAAAAAACTGATGGTATAGCAGGGCTCTAGTGGTGCATGCCTTTAATCCCAGCACTCGGGAGGCAGAGGCAGGAGGATCTCTGTGAGTTCAAGGCCAGCCTGGACTACAGAGTGAGTTCCAGTAAAGGCAGAAAGCTACACAGAGAAACCCTGTCTCGAAAAACAAACAAAAAACTGATGGTACATTCCCCTAATCCCAACACTTGGGAGGTAGAGGCAAGAGGATCAGTTCAAGGCAACTTAAACTGTATAGAGCCTAAGCTCAGAAAATCCAACAATAAAAACCAACAAAACCCAGGAGCCTATCACCTGTTTTTGTAGGCTAGCCATCTTGGGTTTTGGTTTTTGTGGGTTATTTTTGGTTTTGCTTTTGGTTTTTGGGGGTTTTTTGCACATGCTAGGTGAATGCCATACCCTTGAGCTACATCCCTAACCCCTTGGTTTTTAAATTATTTTTTTATGGCTCTCCCTGGTGCCCGAGGAGCTTAGAAGAGTATGTTAGGTCCCCTGGAGCTGTAGTTACAGATGCTTGGGAGTTGTCCTCTGCAAGAGCAATAAGTGCTCTTAACCGCTGAGCCATCTCTCTAGCCCCAGTGATTCACTTATACACATACATTTGTCAGTTTGGAGTTGTGCTGTGAAGTGTGTTGGTTATTGGGCATTACGGTCAGAAACATGTGGAAACCACTGTTTGAGTGCAGTGTCTTCACTTTGTAGATGGCCTCTCTGTTGCCTACAGAAGTTATCAAAGTCACACAAGGGCCAAGAATAGGCAGTCAGGAACAGAAGCCGGGCTTTTTATTCTCCAGACCCATTCATATCCTTTCTGGGAAAATGAGCAGAAAATAGACCCCTACCCATCGCAACTATAGACCCTTTTTGTCTATTTTTGTTAGGCCTTTTAAAATATTTTTATTAGTATAGATTAATTATATGTAATAATGGGTTTCTGTTTGAGATGGTCTCGTGTAGCTCAGGGTGGCCTCAAACTCAGTACGGAACCAAGGATGACCTTGTGTGATGCCGAGAGACTCGGGGCTTCCTGCTTCTGTGAATTATTATCATGTGATCTTCACAAAAGTGCCACAAGGGAGGGACTAGAGTGAACCCCTCTTAAAGATAAGAAAGCAGAGAGGAGAATTGGTAAGCGTGGCATGGTGTGGCAGAGGCCTCCGCTGATGTCTCCCCAGGTGACACCTCTGTCTTGGCTGGAGTGTACGGGCCGGCTGAGGTGAAGGTCAGCAAAGAAATCTTCAACAGGGCCACACTCGAAGTGATCCTGAGGCCGAAGATTGGGCTGCCTGGTAACTGGATTCAGCTGAACCTCCGAGGATCCCGTCTGTTAGGGCCTTACCCGATTCCTGCCGCTTGCTGCGTCCAGTCTCCACTGCCCCGCTCGTTGCCCAGCGCTCTTTTTTTTTTTTTCAAAGATTTATTAATTTATTATGCATACAGTATTCTGCCTGCATGTGTCCCTGCAGGCCAGAAGAGATCTCATTACAGATGGTTCTGAGCCACCATGTGGGTGCTGGGAATTGAACTCAGGACCTCTGGAAGAGCAGTCGGTGCTCTTAACCACTGAGCCATCTCTCCAGCCCTGCCCAGCGCTCTTAATTGGCTTTGTTTTAGTTTTTGCTGCACTAGGGATGGAATCCAGAGCCTCACGCCTGCTAGACAGATGCTCTTCCAGAGAGCCACACTCCTGGGCTCTCACTGGTGGATTCTGGTCAAGCCTTCTTCTGCTTAGGCCTCCCAGGTCCTCCCTGATGGGCTCCAAGCAGACATTCTAAGACAGAGCCACAGCACCACCTTTCCCTGGTGAACTTCAGGCTAGGTGGCTGAGCTATGCCACCAGCCTTTTACTTTTTGAGAGGGGGTCTTAAGTTGCTTAAGCTGGTACTGAGCTCTCTGTAACCTAGGCTGCCCTCAAATTTGTGATCCCCCTGCCTGAGTGTCTCAAATCCTGAGATTGCAGACCAGCACCACCAGACCCACCTTCTTGAGCTACTTCTTTGTCTCTGTTCTTCCCTTCTGTGCCTTCATTTCTCCTTTCCATTAACTTTCCATTCATTTTACCACATCACCATGTGTATGGTGGGGTGGGCCTGCTCTGGTGGGGTCGAGAAGGCCAATAGCACAGGATGTGGGCACTCCTGGGCATTCCTCCTCGGGTGGCTGGCTGGCTGGTGGACCCTCAGAAAGGTTCAGGCCCTGCCTTCTCTGTCCTGGGAGTGTGTACACCTTCCTGGGCTGAGACTGTCAGCCCCTTCTGGAAGTCTGCTTCCAGAGGCTGGATTGAGCAGAACAAGATGATAGGGTAGAGGGAAAGAGCCTGACAACTTCCTGTCTCCCCAGGCGTGGCCGAGAAGAGCCGGGAGCAGCTGATCAGGAATACATGTGAAGCCGTGGTTCTGGGAGCCCTGCACCCCCGCACCTCAGTCACGGTGGTGCTGCAGGTGGTGAACGATGCTGGCTCTGTATCCTTCCCCAGTCCTCTCCTCTAGGAAGTGCCCAGCACCTCCAACCTCCCTGTGGCTTCCCTTCTGGTGACCCCTCAGCCACGCAGAACCCATGCCAGGAAGCAGCTCGTAAAGAACATGAAACAAGGCCAGGGCCAGCAAGAGGGCTCAACGGGTAAAGTGCTCGCTGACGACCTGAATTCAGTCCCCAAGACTTACATGGTGGACAGAGAAACCAGTTCCTGCAAGTTGTCCTCTGACCTCCACATGAGCACCACAGCACACACCTGCCATGGACACACACACACAAAACAATTTTTAGAAACTAGCAAGCAGGGTGCACTGTGTGCTCTGAATACTGTCATTTAGTTCCCACAGGACTTGTGTTGAGTAGCATTGTAATTCCTATGTAAATCCCAAGGCTCGGGCTTTCTGGTTTGAGAGCCCAAGGACTCATTCGTGTGTGTTTCTTATGTTTCCCTGTTTTGTGGTGGGGAAACTGAAGCTCAGAGAGGGGCCGTGTCTTGCCCAAAGGAATAGGATGGTGGCAGCCAGAGGCTGCAGAGGTGGGACTCAAGCTCAGGCTTGTCCAAGCCCAGTGCCTGAGCCAGTGACATCTGTTCACCTTGGCCTGAGTTTCTGGCTCTCTGCTGGGGGAGCACCAAGCAGGTAGAATGGTCATTGGCTCCATTTTCTAGCACAGTAGCTGCCCACTGGATCCCCAGGTGGTGGGCCTGGCTTTGCCTGTGTCTTCCCTATGTGACTGGGAGATCCCTCTTTCTCTGACCGTTTCACTAAAGATACTTGGTACATCCTTTAGTTTATGTATCTGTTCCCTAGCAACATCCTATTTAACACAGGGAGACTGGGAGCAATTGGCCTCCTAGCTGGAGGGAGGTGATTACGCCCAGTATGGAACAGTGGCAACTACTTGGTGCCAGAACCACATAGCCGCCCTGCCATGCTGCTGCTCTGTGATCAATTAGTGATGTCTGCCACAGGCATCAGCGGGTAAAGGGACATGTGGATGTGTTCTGCTGGCCAGTCCCACAGAAGACACACTTCTTAACCACTCTGATGCTCAGCTCTTGGCCTGTTGCCTGAATGCTGCCTGCATGGCATTGGTGGACGCAGGTGTGCCCATGCGGGCTCTTTTCTGTGGGGTCAGCTGTGCCCTGGACTCTGATGGCAATCTTGTGCTGGACCCCACAACCAAGCAAGAAAAGGTAGGCGTGGAAAGTTAATGTTGGTGAAGGGCTGCAGCCCAGTGGCCTTCCTTCTGTGCAAGTTAGTTGGCTCGTGCACCCTGGCCCATTTGGCAGGTTCTGCCCCATTCATGAAGGTTCATTCAGCTTTAAGTGCTAGATACCCAACTCACACTTGCACAAGCCAGAAAAGAAACTTGCTAGCATTCATTACCAAAGTGTAGAACAGACCTCTGGTTCTCGTGCTCCGTGTTGGTCCTGATGATGACAATTAGGGAAGCATGTCATTTTCAGCACTTCACATGAAGGGTGTGCTGCAGGGGTGGCGACAACGGTGCCAGAGGCCAGGAGAAAGAAGAGATCCAGTGCAGGCTGGGCCCCAGCCAGCTCCTGCCATGATATCATCATCACAGTTGGTTGCAGATGTACACACAGAATAGAGCTGGGGGGCAGGGTTCTATCTTGGCTGTGGGAGTTCAGAACCCACCTCACCTCTGTGGCTTTTACTGAAACTGCTGGTGTCAGAGTGGGGACCACAATGCTTCTCTCAGGGCTTCCTGGGCTCCCCTCAGATAACTGGGAAAACCTAACGGCAAGGGAGCTGTGGGGACTGGATCACTGGTTTGTCTGTAGTACCGAGCAAGGAAGGGAGAGTGGGCGGTCGAGAGGCAGCCAGGAAATGACCAGCACTGTGGCTCCCCCTATGGGATGGGAGAGCTGTCAGAATAAAGGCAAAGAAGAGAAACAGTTACCCTGGGATTGGATAGTGTGCAGACAGACAACTGCAGTTGACCTAGAAGCTAAGGGTCCAGTCACCCTTCTTCGAGACTGGCTGAGATCTTAAGAGAGGAGGGTCCCAGGACACTTACTACCTTCTACCTCTTGACCCTAGGAGGCCCGGGCCATCCTGACCTTTGCTCTGGACAGTGTGGAGCAGAAGCTGCTGATGTCCACCACCAAGGGCCTCTATTCTGATGCCGAGGTACCAGTGTGGGGGTAGGGGCACAATCCAGAACCTTCCCTCATCAACATACCATCTTGTCCTAGCTCACAGCAAGCCCTTGTTTACATCCCTGTTGGGTGGGTAGGTTACGTTTTCAGGACTTGGTTCTTAAAGTGCTTGCCTGGCATGTACAACGTCCCAAGCCACAAGTTTAATCTCAACACTTGGGAGACAGAGGCAGGCATAGCTGAGTTCAGGGCCAGCCTAGTCTACATGGAGAGTTACAAGCCAGCCAGGGTGACATTGTGAAATCCTGTCTTAATAAGCAAAAAAGCCAAAAGAGGGAGTTTCTCTGTAGCAGTTTTAAAGGAATGCCTGGGTGACGAAATCAGAAAACAGGGTTCAGCTTGAATGAGGTAGTGTGTCTATCTTAAGGTCCCTGGTCGTCAGCACAGAACAGTGCCACCTAGAATTCTGGGTTTCCAAGGGACAGGGTTTGGCAACTTATTCCGTACCTGTATTTCTTCTCTGGCCCTGTGGAGCTAAGCCTATGTGGTGGTAGAGATTTAACTCTAATTTCATGACTCTTAAGGTTATTTGGGTTGGGCGTGGTGGCTTACAGCTATGATCAAAGCACTTCAGAAGCTGAGGCAGGAGGACTGCTTTGAGCTCCAGGCCAATCTGAACTATATAGTAAAAACTTGTCTCAGAAAGGGAGAGGAGGGGCTGGAGAGATGGCTCAGCAGCCAAGAGCTCTGGCTACTCTTCCAGAGGGCCCAGGTTCAATTCCCAGTGCCCACATGGCAGCTCAAAACTGTCTGTAACTCAGAGCTGGGTGGTGGTGGCACCCGGGAGGCAGAGGCAGGTGGATCTCCGTGAGTTCGAGGCCAGCCTGGTCTACAGAGTGAGTTCCAGGACAGGCTCCAAAGCTACACAGAGAAACCCTGTCCCAAAAAAACTGTCTGTAACTCCTGCTCAGGGGGTACAACACCCTCATAACAGACATACATGGAAGCAAAATACCAATGTATGTAAAATAAAAATAAATAACAAAGAAATAAAGGGGGGGGGGCAATAGGTAGGTCTAGTGGCTCTCACCTTTACTCCCAGCTCTCAGCAGACTAAGGCAGGAGAATCACTAAGTTCAAGATTATCTTGAGCTACACAGATCTAGGCCAACTTGGGCTACATAGTGAGTTACAGGCCAGCCTGAGCAATCTTGTGAGACCCTGTCTCACACAAACAACAGTGAAAAGGATTTGAAGGTTAAAGGGTTAAGCTCTAATTCTCGGGAGCTCCAACTCCGAGTTCTTCCATGGTGTCAGGACTCTGATCTCACAGCTTTGAGGGCCTGTGGCTTTCAGAGTCTGGTCCCCCACACCCTTCTGCTCTTTTCATTAAGATAAAACTTAAGGGCTTGGAAGGTGGTTCTGAAAGTGCAGACTTGCTGCCAGACCTGCCTGACCACCTGACTCTAGTCCCCAGGACCAACATGGTGAAAGGAGAGAACCAACTCCCCAATCTTAGATTGTCCTCTAATCTCTACAGGCCATGAGCGTGTGCAAGTGCGCGCACACACACACACACACACACACACACACACACACACACACACTGTAAATTGCATATTAAAAAGGGGAAGCAAGCTTAGGGGTCCTGAGGATGTGGCTTTATTGGTAGAGGGTTTGTCTAGTATGCATGAGACCTTGGGTTCCATCCCCAGCGTCCTATAAAACCAGGTGTAGTGGTGTACTTAGGAGACTGAGGCAGGAGGATTGTTCAGGGCTGTTATGTGTATATCTCATTACAGGTATGCATCACCACCATTATGGGGTGGGAGTTAGGAGGTAGTGAAGACAGAAATGGCCATTGTAGTGAGGAGTAATGGGGGGGTGCTATGTTTAGGGACTCATTTGGGGAGTAACCCTGGGCACTAACTGGCTTCTCCCTTCCCAGCTCCAGCAGTGCCTGGCTGCTGCCCAGGCCGCCTCACACCACATCTTCCGCTTCTACCGGGAATCACTGCAGAGGCGCTACTCCAAGAGCTGAGACAAGACAGGGCAGGGCGCCCCGCCACCACGCCCACTGCCTCCAGCTGCCACAGGCCAGCACCCCAGTTTACCTCTCTCTGTGCCCATGTGGCTTCCAGTCCTACAGCAGCAGGGGCTCCTATACCAGACTGGGGAGGAGGCTTAGGGACATTTCCAAGCCTGGTCACAACCCTCCCCTCAACAGGACACCATTAAAGGGAGCTCACCTGTGTTGAGTGAATGAGTCAATAGCCACTGATTCTGATGTCTGGCGAGGACTTATTGATTGGGCCTGCTGGGTGCTAAGAAGCTGGCACTGAATGAGAGACCCAGGTCCCATGTTCCAGGGTAAGAGAGAGGCGTGGTGGTACGTGCCAACAGTCTTATCATTTGGCATAGTGAGACCAGCATGGGCTACCTGAGACTGTCTTATTTTTAAAAAGAAGGTGATCTGGAGAGGACTCAGCAGTTAAGAGCATTTGTTGCTCTTCAGAGGACCTGAGTTCAGTTCCTAGCACACACATCAGGTGACTCATAACCATCTGTAACTCTAGCTGTTGGGGATCAGACATCTTCTTCTGGCCTCTGGGCACTTGTACACACAGACAAAATTAAATCTAAAAGAGGGGTTAGTTTTGGGGGGTAGGTAATTCTGTATCAGGAGCCTTCACAGGCAAAGGTGGTGCAGCTGAAGGAGGAAAGTGGCAGTGAGCTTTGGGGTGACATGAAGGAGAGCCCAAGGGGTCCGTGCAGGAAGGAGAGCTGGAGGAAAGGGAAGAGGTGTGCAGGAAGGAACAGACAGCCACATGGGGCTTTGAGGGCCACCAGCAGAGGCCCATATCCAACACCCCAATGAAAGACTGATACAGTCCTCATTTGAAGATAACATAAACAGAGGAGCCCTATAGCTGTGAGGTTACCAGCTAGCCTGCAGAAGAAGGCCATGAGACTCTCGTCCCAGAGCCCTGGCTATTCAGGGCAACACCAGCATCTGGGAGCGCCTTGTTTAAACAGGTCATTGGGTCCCAGCCAGCTGGTTGGTGCTCCCATGCTCATGGTATTGAGAAGGCTGGAGCCAAGCATTTGGGAATTTCTGTAAAGATTAACTCCCACAACCTGTCAACATGGGGCCAAATCAGCAGACCACAGATACAATTTCCATGTGTTGGGCCCATTCTGCCTTGTATTTCACAGGCTAGACCTAGCTCACACTCCCTACCATCACCCTCCTGAGCAGGTATCCTTACTCCTGATAACCAGGAAGGAAATGCATGGGTATCTTTAGCTTGGAGTTTTGCCCTCAGATGCTGGAGAGAATGCTAAGTGGAAAAAAAGTATTTTCTTCTGCCACAGTGGCATTTAACAGCCAAACTCCTGCCTTTTTATTACTTGATGTTCTCAGGCCCCATTTTGTGGTCACTGCCTGTGTACTGCTAAGTGCTGGGTTGGCAGTTCACGTACTTGGTACCACCAGCACTTTGATTCCTTAAAGATCCAGCTCTTACATAGCCAGGCGTTGGTGGTGCACACTTGGAGGCCCGTTCTGCAGAAAACCCAAGGCCTTGGCTGAAGTGGGTTTTGAGAGCCATTTGGGAAGGAAGATGTTTGGTCTCTAGATGATTTAAGCTGTTGGGATTCTTTTTCCACAAGAAAGAAAAATTATGTTTGCAGAGGGAGCCATGCTCACATCACTGAAGCCCAGGTACATTATTTTGTTTTGTTTGTTTCGATGTCTCTAAGACTTACTTATTTGGTTTTTCGAAAGAGTATCACTGTGTAGCTCTTGACTGGCCTGGAACTCATGTAGACCAGTTTGGACTTGAACTCAGAGATCTACCTGCCTCTGCCTCCTTAGTGCTGGGAGTAAAGGCGAGCACCACCACCCTGAGCTGGCTCTGGGGTTTAAGCTCAGGGACTTGTGAATTCTGAACAAGCTGTACACTGCTGAGCCATGCCCCTGGCCCTCTTCACCACCATAACCTTCCTCCCTTCCCCCACCCCCAAACTGGGTATCTCTGTGTAGCCCTGGCTGCCCTGGAACTCACTCTGTAGACCAGGCTGGCCTCCAACTCACAGAGACTCGCCTGCCTCTGCCTCTCCAGTGCTGGGAATGCCAACTTCATATTTTGTATGTTAGTCTCACTAAGCTGTCAAGGCTGGCTCTCTTCTCCCCGTAGTCCTGATTTAAACCTAGGACCTGGTACATGCTAGACAAGTGATCTACCACTAAGCTCACCTCCAGGCCAACTTGAACTTGTGATCCTCCTGTCTCGGCTTCCTGAGTTACCAGGATACCAAGCATGGCTCCCAGGTCCTACTCTATCACCACAGTCCTTTCCTTTTGATTATAGACAACTGAATAGTTTCTCCAATCTTCTGTGGGATGAGCTCCCAGGCAAGCCATAGGCTACTCCACCACACACACACTCACACACATACTTTGGAACCTCCTGGCTCTTAATTCTGCTCTTACTGCTGTGAAGAAGAAAATACTGCGGTATCCCACCTCAAACTCTTGAGGTCTGATCCTTGCTGGTCCTTCCTGCTCTCTGGTGCCCACACCATTCCACCCTGGACACACCCAAACACACAGGCGGACTCGGGTTTGGCTTCAGGGTCTCTTTAATCTCACATAGCTTCCCTCTGGGTGGGGGTGGCCAGGAAATCAGCAGACTCTCGTTTCTGGATGATGTGGTCCTCGCCGTCACCACCATATGCACCAAGATCATCCATTCCTCTCACGAGTTCACTGGGCCTCTGGCCTCTGCATTCACAGTGGGGGCCCGCAGGGCAACTAGGGCGGGTCTCAGGAGGCAAGGTAGGCAGCCAAGGTCACCAGGGCAGCCATGTACATGCACAGGCCCAGCCCCACAGCAAGGACCCCCAGCAGGAAGGCACAGCGGGAGGTGGCCCCTGCCCCTTGGATGTCCCCCTTGGCCCAAGCCCTGCTGGTCTGTAGAGGCAGTGGGCAGTGGTAACTAAAGTGTCCCCCTCATACTCCACCCTGCTTCCTGTGGCTCTCCCCAAACCCAGTGGAACTGATCAGTCTATTCTAAAACTGGTTGGGGCACAGGATTGCCCCAGTTGGACAACTAATAAAACAATGTTTCCATGTTTTGTGGTGTCACTCCTTTAATCCCAGCACTTGGGAGGCAGAGGCAGGCGGATCTCTGCGAGTTCAAGAACAGCCAGGGCTACACAGAGAAACCCTGTCTGGGGTGGGGTGGGAGGAATGTTTCCACATGCCGCCATTTTATGCCAGTGTTTACCTTAGTTGATCTGCACAATGACCCTGAGATAGGAATTGTTTCTATTTACTAAGGAGGGAAACCTATGGGGGGCGTACATAGGAATTGTTTCCATTTACTAAGAAGGAAACCTATGGGGATGAGTTTCCAAGACCTTCATCACCACTCCGGGTTCATGAAACGTGTCTTGGTTTTCCTCCCAGCTTCTGTCCTCCCTTTGCTCTGACACAGTCTCGGGTAGCCCATGCTGTCCTGGGGCTCCCTTTGTAGCCAAGGATCACCTTGAAGTTAGATCTTCCTGCCTCCATCTCCATCAAACCCAGGACTTCATGCATGCCAGGCAAGCACTCTGCCAACTGAGCTGCAGCCTCAACCCTGTTCCTTTCTTTGATTCTTTTGAGACAAGATCCCAGTTTGTAGCCAGGTTGGCCTTGAACCTCCTCCTCAGCCTCCCAAGACTGCCCAGGATTACAGGCAGTCACCACCACATCAGGTTATACCTATGTGTTTCTTTGTGGAGGCTACTCTCCAGCCCACCCCCTACCACCTTAAGCATAGCATGGCTCCTCTTGGTTCTTTTTCCTTTTTTTTTTTTTTTTTTTTAACCCAGCACCCTCCCAGTCCCAAACACAGACTAACCTTGTGGGCCAGACAGAAGGCAGCGATGCCCACAGGCCAAAAACAACACAGGACAGAGAAGACCGCCAGGCCCAGGTGGTCATGGGGCAGAAGAGGTGAGAGACGGTCGTCCCCATCGTAATCTGAGTCACTGTCACTGGATGATGTGTCCTAAGGACAAGAGAGATCTGGATGACTATCTCCAGCCACCTTCCCTGCCCCATCACCCCATAGAACCAGTGTTTCCCTGGGACCTCTCCAAAGACAAAAGCATTCGTTCAACAAGGTGGACTTTAGACTTCTGTGTCCATTGGATCCCTTGGAGGGGAGGCTGTGGATACTGAGGCCTCCAGAGAGACCCACCCTTAGGGTGCCGAGTTCATTCTCAAGAGTCCAACTATGGGAAGATCTGAAGTGAGGGCAGACTTTACCTTGGGTACGAGAACCTGTAGAAGAGATGGGGATTAAAAACACTTGAGTGTCCTGAATTGCTAGGACAAACCTGCCAGCCAAAAATGATCCTAAAGCCAGATGTGCCTGTAATCCCAGCACTGGGGAAATCAGGCCTGCCTCGGTGACATGAGCCCTGGGGGGGAGGGGAGCGGGCACCAAAATCTTTCACTGTTGTCTACAGGCAGCTCAGTAGGAGCAAACCAAATCCTCTCTGGAAGATTGTACCTTCATTCTAGGCCTACAAAGAATTGATCCTAAAAATACCTTTTTCAAACAAAATGACCAGTACAGTCAAACATACCAGATACACAAATGGTGAACAGGAACTTGGAGGTACAATGCAGTTATCAAAGCCTTCACTGCTAGGCCCAGTCAGCGATCATCAAGCTATCTGTGACAGTGTGTCTCCCACCCAGCGTGCTTGTTCTGATTTTAGACAGGGTTTACTGTGTAGCCCCAGGTTGTCTAAAGCCAAGTGCTTCAACCTTCTGAAGGCCCGGATTACCAGCACATGCTGAACCTGGCTCCAAGTGGGGGGTGTGTTTGTTTGTTTGTTTAAGACAAGGCCTCTATTATGGAGATCTGGCTGTCCTGGAACTCACTCTGTAGACCAGGCTGGCCTCGAACTCACAGAGATCCGCCTGCCTCTGCCTCCCGAGTGCTGGGATCAAAGGCATGCACTAAAACCCCTTGTTCCAAAAGCTCTTTAGATGTTCCCACCCTCCCTCTCTCCCCTCCTCCCACCCAGTAGCTGTTTGGTAGGTTCTCCCTCCCCTTGAATCTGGGCAGGTTTGTGACTCACCTGTCCTTAACAGAATGTCACATAGTGAATACAAGATTTCCTAGGAAAAGGTGACAGAAATCAGGCCTGGTCCCAAGGATTGAAATTTCAAGTCCGCCTGGACTATAGAGTGCATTCAAAGTCAGTTTGGGCAATTTAACAAGACCCTACTGGGCAATTTAACAAGACCCCACTTCAAGTAAAATGGGAAAGCCAGGGGTGGTGGCTCCTGCCTCTAATCTCAGCATTCGGGAGATAGAGTCAGGAGGAGCAGAAGTTTAAGGTCATCTTCAGTTACATGGTGAGTTTGAGGCTAGTCTGGGCTACATGAGACCATCTCACAGAAAAAGAGAAACCAGGTGGATGGCACAGGCCTGCATTTCCAGTCAGGAAGCTGAGGTCAAAAGATGAGTGTGCTAAGGAGTCCAAGGCCAACATGCAAAACAGATCTTGTCTCAAAGAATGTTAAAGTGTAAAAAGAAAAATGAATGACATGTTTCACAATACAAGCAAGGAATATAACATTATGAAAGTGACTTGAAGCTGGGCATGTTGGCACAAACCTATTAACTCCAGCATTCATGGAGGCTGAGGTGGAAGGATGAATTTAAGGCCAGCCTGGGATACACAGACCCTGTCTCAGGAAAGGGGGAGCAGGGGCTGGAGAGATGGTGCAGTGGTCACTGCTCTTGGAAATGACCTGAAGTTAGGTTCTCAGCATCCATGTGGGTAGGATTACAACAACCTATAACTCCAGTTCCAGGGGATCTGAATAGTGAGAAAATACTCACATGCACAGACACACACACTTAAAAATAAGGGCTGGAGACATAGTTTATTGGTTAAGAGCACTGGCAGAGGATCCAGGTTGAATTCCCAGTACCAACCCTTATGATGGCTCCCAACCATCTGTAACCCCGGTCCAAATGGATCCAGCGCCCTCTTCTGGCCTCCACAGGCACTGCATGAATAGTGTGTACAGACATACATACATGCAGGCAAAACACCGATACACTTTAAAAGCTTAAAAATAATAAAGTAAAAATCTGAAATTTTAAAAAATATATATTTTAAAGCAGTGGGATGGGTCAGCATGTAAAGTCACTGGCCATCAAGCCTAATGGCCTGACTCCGGGTCATAGTGGAAGACGAAAACCAAAGAACGTTCTCTACCTCTACATGTATGCCCTGGCCTCACTCCATACATACACACACACACACACACACACACACACACACACACACAAATAAATGTTAACCTAAAAAAAAATTAAAGACGTTAACTTGAAAAACTGAGTTTGTGGGTCCTGGAAAGAGAGAACTCAGTCAGAAGGAAGACCTCAAACAAAGATCAAGGAATGAGGTGAGAGGGCTGGAGAGAGAAAAAAAAAAAAGCTCTGCACTCGGGAGGCAGAGCCAGGGGGATGTCTCCGAGTTCAGGCCAGCCATGGCTTCACAGAGAAGCCCTGTCTCAAAACAAAACACAAAAACTCCAAGACTCCCAGCCAGCTGCTACACAGTCAAGTGAGACTCCAAGACCTAGGCAGATAGCACCAGCAGCCTGATGGCCCTACCTCAAGGTCAGGGGTCTCAGGCTCTCCCAGGCCAGCGCTCACAGAAGGAAGAGGTGGAAGGAGGAACTGCCGGCCTCTCAGAGATTCCACAAAGGCTGTTTCTGGGAAGGGGGGTCCCAGCTCTGGTTTGTCAAACTTGGGGGACAGGAGATCACAGGCTGTGTTTGGCAGCAAGGGTTGTTGGAGTTCCTGTACGCTGGGGTTGTCCATGGCTGAGGTGGGGGGAAGCTGTGGTGGAGAGTTCCTACAGACGAAGAAAAACAAATTCAAATTCCAAAAGTCTTGCCTTCATCCATCACCCCCTCTATAGGCTTCAGAGAGATGAGTGAGCTCAAAGCCCCTCAGATTCATTTTACAGATAGAAACAGACTGGAGAATAATTCACAGACAATTCAGGGTCCCAGATGATCAATTCTAGGATTCTCTCAACTATATACCTGTTGCACACTCACTGTAAACCATGTCTTACACCTTTGTTTGTCCCATGAACCCTCTCCACACATACACACTCCATCCCCAGACTCACATGCCCTTACCACCCATCGGGCCCACACCCTTCCTCCTATACTATGCACATCCATCTCCTGCCCCCAGTGACCCAGGAACTCCACCCTAGTGCACACACATCTAGCCCTCACACTCAGTTCCCAGGACCACTGTCACCCAGCCCCTCTCAAGGTAAGCCCACCCACACCCACACCCTGTCATCTGCCAAAGGTCTCCTTGAGTACTTGCTGCAAACGACATCAGCTCCCCCTCAGAAAGATGTCTGAGGCCGGCAACGTTCTTACGTATCTTTATGTATCCCTGAGCCTCCTTGTACAATCAATCCTCGCCCTTGCAGCATCTGAAAACGCAAACACCCCCAACATACAGAAACCCCCACACGCACACACCACCGCCACACTTCTCAGCTCTCATCGCTTCCGCTGCACACGTATTTATCCAACTCAACCCATGCCATACCTTGCCCCCTTTTCTACCGCGCCCACGACGCCACACATCTCCCCACTGGCCTGTCGCCTTAGCCCACCTGGCTCATTAACGCCCCCACCCCCAAGCCCAGCATATGTACTGTTCACACTCAACCAGAAAGATCTTTCTCATTCTATTATCCTCTACCCAAGATCGTTCCAAACCTAGCCCAGGTCCTCGCCAAAGATTCACTCCATCCCTTCCTCGCCCCCGCAAAGCCAGGACCCCGGGGGAGGAGCAATGTCCCCATCTCCTCTCCTCTCCTCACCACCCACTGCCAGGCTCCCGACCTCCTTGGGTCTCGCAGAACGCCCACCTTGCTCTGTAGTCCAGAGATCGAGAGTCCTGGATTCCCGGCGCGGGGTCTAAGAGCTGCACTGCGCTTGGGTCTCTGCGCCCCAGCCCCGCAGCGCGCTGGGGAGGGGAGAGGCGGGGCGACAGCTCCAGACTCCGCCCCTCCGCTGCGCTCTGGGAGGGGGCCTTGAAGGCCACTGGGGTCCCAGAGACAGCAGCTTCTCCTCCCTTACCCTAGGCTCAAACCTGTTGGCTGGAAGATGGAGCAAACCCAACCCCCCCCCCCCCCCCAGCTCTGCCAAATATCCAGGCCTTTCCTGGTTGACCCCCCCACCTCTCTCACCCCTAAAAAGGTGGCCCAATAACAATCAATAATAATAATGATAACATCAACTACAGCTTTGTGCCTTGCTCTAGGTGCTTTAAATATACACAGCCACAGAACAATTCTAAGAAGCACTGTGTATGGTCTTCTTTTCACGGCAACAAAGAACACAGAGAATTGAAGTTAACTGGTCCGAGAGCACACAGCTTGTTCATGAGTATGGATGCTACCCCAGGCCCTGTGCTGGGTTCTTCACCTTCAACAGCATATTCATTCCTTCAGCAGCTCCATTTCCATTTTCATCCCTGCCTTTTTTTTTTTTTTCTTGGTTTTTTGAGACAAGGTTTCTCTGTGTAGTTTTAGTGCTGTCCTGGATCTCACTCTGTAGACCAGGCTGACGTCAAACTCACAGAGATCCTCCTGCCTCTGCCTTTATGAGTGCTGGGATTAAAGGCATGCGCCACCACTGCCCGGCCTCACCCCTGCTTTGCAGGTGAAGAAACTGAGGCCAAGACACTGGCTTCTGTGCCAAGATAAGCAAATGGAACCTGCACTGGCAGAAGGTAACCCAAGGCAGAATTCCTTGCTGACCCCAGGGGAAGGGAAGAAGCCGAAGTAGGAAGGTTGAGTGAAGCTTCCCTAGGTCAGAGGCAGACGAGTGGTCCGGGATGGGATGCTATAAGCATTCTTTAGTGATGCAGGTATGGTCCGTGAGTCAGGGTTGGGCTCTTCATACAGAGGTCCTTTGCAGGTATTTCAAGGCACTTGAACTTTGTGAACTTTGAACCATAGCTTTACCTCCCTGAATCTTTATTTCTTCATCTGTAAACTAAGGATATATGCCCAGCCTCCTAGATGTGATGACATACATATTTTTAATTTTTGATGTTTTTCTCATTACATGTATTTATTTATTTAGTGTGATTCTTCTACAGCAAGCATGTGTAGAAATCAGAGGACAACTTGTAGGAGGTAGTTCTTTTCTTTCACCAGGTGGATTCCTGCGCTCGAACTCAGATCATCAGGCTTAGCAGCAAGCTCCCTTTTCCCCTGAGTCATTCCAACAGCCCGACATATGGATTTAACTTAGACATGACAACAAATACCCACACATTTACCCCTGGCAAAGTGAATGCGGTGAACATGTGTAATGTGTTTATTGATGTTATTATTCATAATTCATGTCCACTCAACTGACAAAGAACCCTTGTGGCCCTCCAAGCCGGCTCCTCCTTCAGGTAGTCCACCCAGCTTGCACTGCCTTCTTTTCCTGCAGCCTTCCATCTGGCCAGACAGGAGGATTCCCCGGCCCGATGTAGGGCTGTGGAGTTTCCTAGCTCTGGGGTGCCAGGGCACTGTGCCAAGAGTCCAGACGCTCAAGCTGGCATGGGCCCCACTCCCAGGGAGAGCAGATGGCGTCTGGGAGTGCGCTTGGCTCAGCCCAAGTTTCTGGCAGGGAGACCCGAGGGAGGGGTAGTGCCAGGGCCAGGGCCCAGGGTGGATTTTGCCAGAAGGGGTTTACCAGCTCCCTTCTCTTGCTCTAGTTGTCATTTATACCGTGTAAGAACTGCCAACGTGTTCCCTTTGCGTTGCTCCTGACTGCTCCCATCAGCATCAACTCTGACGCAGCTAGGATTTATTCTCTTTTGTTCATGGCAGTGCCCCAGGCCTGAAACAGTGCTTGGCACCAAGTAGACCTTACTTTGAGGCTCATGGAATGAGGGTATGAATTCCTACCAGCCTCAGTTTTCCATCAGATCACTGAGCTCAGAGACGCCCCATCCTCCTCTTGCCATCCCACACATGGATTCCTGTCAAGTTAGAATCATAACCACCATCAGCCTTTTAGAGTCTCCCCAGCCTATCTCTTCCAGGAGACCAGAAAAGGCCTGGGGTCTTATTTCTTATTTTTGTGACAGGCCTAGAATGTGGATGGTGTGTGTGTGTGTGTGTGTGTGTGTGTGTGTGTGTGTGTGTGTGTGTGTGTTTTGCTGGAAAATCTGGGACCTAGCCATACCCTCAGTCACTCACTAGGGAATTCTAGGCAGGGGCTCTACCACTGAGCCACACCCCAGCCTCTCACTGGGGGATTCTAGGCAGGGGCTCTACCACTGAGTCACGCCCCCAGCCCCCCACTGGGGGACTCTAGGCAGGGGCTCTACCACTGAGCCACGCCCCCAGCCCCTCACTGGGGGACTCTAGGCAGGGGCTCTACCACTGAGCCACTAGGCAGGGGCTCTACCACTGAGCCACACCCTCAGTCCCTCACTAGGAAATTCTAGGCAGGGGCTCTACTACTGAGTCACACCCCCAGCCCCTCACTGGGGGATTCTAGGCAGGGGCTCTACCACTGAACCACGCCCCCAGCCCCTCACTGGGGGACTCTAGGCAGGTACTCTACCACTGAGCCACACCCCCAGTCCCTCACTGGGGGATTCTAGGCAGGGGCTCTACCACTGAGCTACACCCTCAGCCCCTCACTGGGAGATTCTAGGCAGGGGCTCTACCACTGAGCCACACCCCAGCCCCTCACTGGGGGATTTAGGCAGGGGCTCTAACACTGAGCCACACCCCCAGCCCCTCACTGGGGGATTCTAGACAGGGGCTCTACCACTGAGCCATACCCCTAGCCCCTCACTGGAGGATTGTAGGCAGGAGTTCTACCACTGAGCCATGTCCCCAGCCCCTCACTGGGGGATTCTAGGCAGGGGCTCTACCACTGAGCCACATCCCCAGCCCTTCACTGGGGGATTCTAGTCAAGTGCTTTACCACTGAGCCACACCTCCAACCCCTCATTGTGTATTCTATGACCCCTAACATAATGCTTAAAAAAAAAAAAAGCAGTGTCACATCTATACTTTTCCTGCTGCATCGTTCAGATCTAATTGCAAAACTCATGAAACCAGGTTGGAGATGTAGCTCAGTAAAGGGCTTACCTAGCAGGAACTGGGGTCAATTCCCAGCCTTGCATAAAAACAGGCATGATAGTGCACAGTTGTAATTCCAGCCTTCAGGAGGTGGAGTCAGGAGGATCTGAAGGTCAAGATCATCCTCTGCTACATAGCAAGTCAGAGGTCAGCCTGAGAAAAGGTAAAAAGAGTTGGGGATATTGGGGATATAGCTATACCTAAATGATAGAGCACTTGCCAAGTATGTGCAAGGCCCTGGGTTCAATCCCTAGCACTAGAAAGAAAAAAAAAAAGAAAAAAATGAAAGAAACAACAATGAATAAATAAAGTCTCAGTATGGGTGGATCACTGAAGCTTCATCTCTGGACCTAAAACAGCTGAGCTGGAGACTCTGCTCTTCCTAGCAATTGTTTACTCCTTTCAATAACTTTGGGGAAGGACCTTGTGAATCCTGTAACTTTCAGGACTTTCCTGACTCTTGCAAGTCTCGTTTACTTTTTAAGCCTTGCTTGTTGTATTAACTACTTTTCTATTGCTGTGATAAAATACCATGACTAAGATAAGTTATTAAAGAAACAGTTTAATTTGTCTTATAATTCCAGAGGGTTAGAGTCTATAATGACAGAGTGAAGCCATGGTAGCAGGTGCCTGGAGCAGCAGCTGAGAGAACTCACATCTTAATCTACAAGTAGGAGTCAGAGCACTAACTAAAAATGGTGCAGTGACATGCTTCCTCCATTCAAGGATACATTTCCTAATCCTTCCCCAACAGCTACTAACTGGGGACCAAATATTCAAATGCTTGAGAGAAACCATCACACGTATTTTCTTTACTTCCTGATTTTAAGTTTTTTAGCTAGGTGTGATGGCACATGCCTTTAATCTCAGCACTCTTGAGGCAGTGGTAGGCAGATCTTTTTGAGTTCAAGGCCAGCCTGGTTCTTCATAGTGAGTTCCAGGACAGCCAGGGCTATATAGAGAGATTCTGTCTCATATATATAATTTTTATTTTATTTTATATATGTGTCTGAGTGGAAGTTACAGAGGCCAGAAGAGAGCACTGTGCCCGCTTTCCTGGATCTGAAGTTATAGGCAGTTGTAAGCCGCTAGATATGGGTGCTGGAAACTGAACTCAGGTCCTCTGGGAGAGCAGCAAACACTCTTAACAACTGAGGCCTCTCTCCAGCTCTCCAGCTCCCTGATTCCCATGAGTCTTTGTCCTGCATGGAATGTTTCCATTCTGAGGAAACAGTTATACAACTTACCTACAATCTCCACTACCACTACACCTTGTTTTCTTTTCATATCAGGTATATTCCATTTATGAAATTCATCCAGATATTTATTTATTACTTGTGAACTTTTCTGCACATAATGCTTTAGAATGTTATTTTTGAAAAGAGTGATTTAAACCTTTCTGTTTCCAAGATGAGTCACAGAATGAAAAAAAAGGCAAGGTGTGAAGCCTTATTACAGCTGCCATGGAAAACAATATGGCTGTTCCTCCAAAATTTTAAAACAGAATTAGCCCATGGTTCTGAAATCCCACTTCCAGTGAAATGCTCAGAAGAATTGAAAGGAGAGTTTCAAAGAGACTGCGTGTCCACAGCAGTAGCCCAAAGGCTGGGGCAACAGAAATGTTGTCTACCTGAATAAAATGTGTATAGTCAGAATGAATGCACTGTGACATTACAAAGGAGGGGAATTCGGACACATGCTTACAATAAGG